CCCTCCCCCACCCATCCGGCACCCGATGACCACTCGTGCACGAAGTGGCATCTTCAAACCTAAGCTCTACTCCACATCCTTCACCTCTTCCCCACCTACTACCGAGCCTGTTACCTATAAAGAAGCCTCCCAAAACAGTTATTGGTGCCAGGCTATGGATGACGAATATAAAGCCCTGCTTGATCAACACACATGGGAGCTTGTTCCGGCACCTCTAGACCGGTTTCCTATTGGATGTAAGTGGATTTATAAAATTAAGCATAATGCTGATGGTTCTGTTTCCAGGTACAAGGCCCGTCTTGTGGCCAAAGGTTATACACAAGAATATGGTTTGGACTACTCTGAGACTTTTAGCCCTGTGGTCAAACAGCAGACCATTAGAGTGGTTCTCTCACTAGCCGTCAGTCAGAACTGGCCCCTTCACCAATTGGATGTCTCCAATGCTTTTCTTCATGGTGTCATTCCAGATGAAATTTATATGAAGCAGCCCCCAGGGTATATCGATCAGCAGTATCCTCATTATGTGTGCAAACTGAGGAAATCTCTTTATGGATTGAAGCAGGCACCACGGGCTTGGTACCAACGTCTCTCTGGGTTCCTTGTTGACTATGGCTTTGGAAAAAATGAACATGACACAAGCTTCTTTGTCAAGCACTCTCCCTCCGGCATCCTCATTGTTCTACTTTATGTTGATGATATTATTGTCACTGGGAGTGCCTCTTCTCTTATTTCCTCATTTATTCAGGCCATGCAAACAGAATTTCAGATGCAGAATCTTAGTCCTCTCCATTATTTTCTTGGGCTCGAAGTGACACGCAAGCAGGGCCAGTTGATTCTATCCCAGGAAAAATATGCACGTGAACTCCTTCACAAGGCGGGAGTTGAAGACTGCAAACCGGCACCCACACCCCTACCCGTACGGCAATCCGAGGAGGGGGAAAACCGCCCATTTGAGAATCCCACTTTTTTCCGTAGCTTGGTTGGATCTCTTCAATATTTGACAAATACACGCCCGGATATTCAGTTTGCTGTCAACTATGTTTGTCAAAGGATGCATGCACCTACTGAGCAGGACTTTCAATCGCTGAAACGCATCCTCCTCTATGTCAAGGGGACCATTGACCATGGTTAATATTTCGGCGTGGCCCACAAACCATCCATGCATACTCTGATTCGGACTGGGCCAATGATATGACAGATGGACGGTCTGTTACAGGTTATTTGATATATCTTGGGCCTAATTTAATCTCTTGGAGTACGAAAAAACAGAGTCGTGTCTCTCGCTCATCCACCGAGGCCGAGTACAGGGCCCTCTCAGCCGCAGCAGTAGAGGTGATGTGGATCACCTATTTGTTTGATATTTTGCAGATTAAGCTACCTCCTCCACACCTACTCTGCGACAACCAATCCACCATTTGCCTAACCAAGAATCCAGTGTTCCATAAACGCATGAAGCATGTCGGCACCGACTGTCACTTTGTAGCAAACAGGTAATTGCCGAAAAAATGACAGTCTTCTATGTTCCTTCTAGTGAGCAGTTAGCGGATCTTCTCACAAAGGCTCTCTCTTCACCACGCTACTCCGCACTGGTTGCCAAGCTTCCTCTCGTTTCACGACGTTCAGCTTGAGGGGGGATGTTAGGCATATATGGCAAGAAGTATAGTTATGGTAGAATTGTTATTTATGTTAGTTTCCATATTTGGTGAATCCTAATTCATGTAGGGATCCTCACCTATATAAACACCCATGTATACAATTATTCAGTTGAGTTGGATTATTAAAATCAACAAACGTCAGTAGCTTAATTGACCTTAACCCATTTTTTCCTCGACTTCTCTATCCAAGAGACATAAAGTTGGGTCTTTTTGACTCTCTTCTGATGCCACCTTATTAGGTATTTTGCTCGGTCAAGGTCCATGATCCTTGACTCGTCCCTACGGCGTGGCGGCAACAGAATATTGGAAGGAAATATTACTATGAAAATAATTTACAAGATAAATCTTATACAATTATTTTTATATCAATAACTAATATACATTTTATTTAACTAAGTAATGTGTAAAGTTTATCAATTTTGATTACAAAAAATTATATTCGACAAATACTTTGACACGTACACAAAAAAGAATTTTCAGAACGCCTAAAAAATCCTTAGAATTGAGAAAACAAGCTAAGGATATTCATTTTTATTTTTTTATTTTATTTTTTATTTAATTCATCATTTTTGAAATTCTCAAAACAAGTTCTTAAATTTCTATTTTAGAAAGTAAAAAATCAAATTTGTTAATTTAAAATGTACAGATGCAGTATATGTTAATGTTTTTCAAACAAATAACTTCAAAATTTAAGAAAATTATAAATAAATTTTAAAAGTAAATTAAAAAAACTTTGATTAATAAAAGAAACAAAAAAGATAAAAAAAAAAAAGAAATGAGCACACGAGTGCCCTTATGGTTAAGAAAATAGGCACAAATGCATCATTCTTTGGTGAAAAAATGGTCGAAAAATGATCAGAAAGATTATGGATGCATTATTTTGAAACCACCTGAACGTTAGAAATAAGTTTTAAAAACAGAGAGTACTAGTGTCTATTTTTTAAACCACGGGGGGTACTGGTGCTTTTGGCCTTAGTCTGAATTTAAAATTCTTATTTCTCCATTTTCTTCGTCCAGATTTAATTTTCTCATTTTTCTTATATGTGTTTGAAAAAAATAACTTTCATTTTATTAAAAAGCTCTAACAACCAACTTAGGAGTGAGCGTGGTACGGTATGGTACGGTATATAGCTCGTACCGATACCGTACCAAATATTTCGGTTCGGTATGGGATTTTACGTTGTACCAATACCAATCCCGAAGCATCGGTTCGGTATAGTTCGGGATGGTTTGGTATCGGTTTCGGTACGAATCGAGATGAATATATACATACTTAGTTTACATCATAAAACCTAACAAAACCTTTTATTTTAAAAAATCGAGAGTACATTTAACCAAAAAAAAGATAAAAAATTTAAAAATGAAAAAATAAAATGCAAGAAATGCTTAGGAAAGTTAGTTTATATTTCAAAAACCGAAGAGAACGAGTGATAACAAAGTATTATTTCAAATATTTGTTAGTATTCTTATACTCATCTACAAAAAATAAAAACTGTTATTAAAGTGCAACTTAAACATAATGAAATTAAACTAAATTATCTATATAATTTTTTATTTTATGAAGAAATATAAAAAGATTATTATTTTTATAATATATTAGTATATATGTTCGGTTCGAGAATTTCGGTATGGAAAGTAACCTCATACTGTTTCCAAATACCGGACCGACCGTTCGGTTCGATACGGTTCGGTTTCTTTTCAGTACTTTATCAGTTCAGTAATTTTCAGTTCGATATTCTCAATTTGTTTAAGAAATATTTGGATCGGTTCGGTCGTCCTTACTCCCCTAAACCAACTTATCCCACCTTTCCTTGGTAAGAGTATTTTACACAAATCCAACTTATAAACAACTTCCCTTAAAATGTGGAAAAAGTAAAAAACGGAACCTAAAATCGGAAGGGAGAAACAATCACTTTGTACATAAATAAAGAAAAATTATAAATCAAATCTTGATTCAATAATTAAATTTGGATAAACACCTCACTCACACACGGTTGAAGAGAAATAGATAAATTAAATGCCAAAAGTCTAATTACCAAATATGTATCCTTTCCTATTGAAGTTTGGATTTAGGAAACTAATTAATTTCAACATTTTTTTATCTCTCCTAATTTAACCCTATATATATGTGACTATGTAAGAACCTAATGCTCCAATTCATACGCAGTAAAAAAAATCTCACAAATATGGAAACTTTTGCGAGAGCGGTCAAATTCATCCGCCTTTTCAAACCCGACCCCACCCACGGCTGCATCGCCGTCACAACCACCGACAAGCTCTCCACCTCCTCCTCTGGCTTCCCGGAATCCTCCGTCACCGCGGCGGTGCACCGGTTTCCCGCGGTCTACTTCAATCCCCTGATCGAGTTCCGCTCCCGGGAGAGCGCGTCCGCCTTCTTCGCCGCCGTTGTCGGCGGGCTGATGGGCTGGGAACGGGGATCCGCCTTCCACATCACCGCCGGCATGGCGGCGCACGCCTTCGAGACCGTCGCGAGCGGGCGGTGGACCTACGGGCTGCACGTCAACGTCGAACTGGAGACGCTCAGCGTGTTCGAGGAACACTTGCCGGGATTCTTGGAGAGCGGGCTGGTCGACGAACGGGGCAGGGAGGTTCTGGGGAAGGGGATGCCGGAGGCGGAGATTTCCATGCTGAGGAAGGAGCTGTTCTGCGGCGGCGACGGGACGTGCGCCATCTGTCTGGAGGAATTCTGCGGCGGCGCGGTGACCACGCCGGTGTCTCCCTGTTCTCACAGGTTTCACAACAGGTGTATTTCGACTTGGCTGAGGAAAAACAGAGCATGTCCCATGTGCAGGGCAAGATGCACCGTTGATGTCTGATGAGTGTCCGCGGCGGCGGCGCTACCAGCCGGCGGCGGAAGTTTGGCCGAAGATAACATTGGAATCTTTAATTCTTCTTCTACGAGGAATTCTTTTCTTCTTCTTCTTCTAAGTTTTACTGAGTTCAGAAAGATTATCTTTGATTTGTAGGGATTAATTAACCACGTTGAACCAATTCTTGAACTAAAAATATTACTCTCTATCAATAATTTGTGATTGAGTAAAAAACATTAATTACGAGTTTTTTTGTTAATCTATTTTAATGTGTTCAAATTCGAACAATAATTTTATGTTATAGTCTTATTTAGTGTAAATTTTGTTTTTTAATTTTTTATGGGATGATATTAAGGTCTAGATTTAGGAAACAAAACCATTATTATTATTAGGAAACTAAAAATCAAATCAATATTAGGAAACTAATAACTAGTTTTTTAAGAGGAAAAACCTTGGGTTTAGCCCATTGCATGAGTGCATGAGAAATTGTTGTTAAAGATTTACCTATTGAGTAAAAGAATTCATTGATTCAAGAGAAATAGTCAACTAGGACTTGAACTTACTTGGTGTACTAAATGTATGCTATTTCATCCGTCCTACAAAAACCTTTCTAGTTTTGAGTTTTGACTTGTAAAAGATTTAAAGAGAATATATTTTGATGTTGACTTTTCAAAAATGTCCTTGGATGTGATAGGTAGATTAATAGTAAAAAAAATATGATATGATTGGTAGATTAAGAATTAATAGAGGTAAAAGTAACTTTTTAATAGAATTAATACAAGTTTTTTGGGACAAATAAAAAGAAAGAAGAATAGCTTTGTGAGATAGAGGGAATATGGTTTTCTATGTTTTATGCTAAAATAAGAATTATAATGTCACCTCTGCCAACATATATATATACATTACAATGAAATGCTGCTCTCTAATATACAACGTCAAAATGCGTTGATTATCACAAGGCACTATTCATGTATTTTGTGATAAAATATTTAATTTGGTTTTGTGTAAATACATTTCTTTTGCCCTTATTATGTGGGAAACATATGCTTCCTCCGTCCCAAATTATATTGTCTGTTTTGGTTTACAATGATTGAGATTATTTTTAAAATTGTTTTATATAAAAAATAGTGTATAATTAAAAATAAAAAAATAATATTAAAATACTACATCAAAAGATTTTCAAAACTAGTGGTGACATGAATATTTTATTTTATCAAATGATTAACAAAAATAAAGGAAGAAAGTAAATGAAGTTGGACTTGTAAATAGTGAACATAAAATTTAATTTCGGACAGAGGAAGTAATATAAATAAATACACTCTTATATAAGGGAGAATATTGACGAACTTATTAAAAGAATTGTCATGGGGATAGCAGATAAAAACTTGTAAAATTTGACTAAATAAGACTAAAACATAGTGACTTTCCTAATGTAGGACTTAAACTTTTTTATTCCCTAAATAAAACTTAATATTGACCTAGTGGGAGGAATAATGTCTAGTAATGATATATATTTACTTGAATAATAACTAGTTGATAATGACCAAAACTTACAACAACAACAACAAACAACAACAACAACAACCCAGTTAAATCCCACAAGAGTAGGGTCTGGGGAGGGTGTGTGTACGCAGACCTTGCCCCTACTCGAAAGTAGAGAGGCTGTTTCCAAAGAGACCCCCGGCTCAACGTCGAAAGTTGCATTGCTTGACTAACTGCTTACGTGCGCCAATATATTCCTTATACTCTATCCGTCCCTAAAAGATTCTCGCAGTTTGATTTTTTGTCAAATTGTGGCACTATTTGATCACAAATTAAATATAATTTAAAATAATTAAATATTATAAAAATTTTATATTTTAAAATTATCTTCTAAAATAAATCAAATTTTACTAAATTTATATTATATAACTAAATATTTTTCCCCATAATTTGTAGTCAAAGGGTCTTAGAATTTGACCAAAAAGTCAAACTATGACGATTTTTTAGGGACGGGGGAGTTTAACATATACTTTGACTCCTTTGTCTCTGAATAAAATTATACTCCGTACACGAGAATTAATTTAGATTAAAATTATTCTTAATCCATTTAATTTTATATTGGTGTTAATTTTTTTTAAAATAAATGTACACGTTTAAAACTACATAAAATTATAGTAACTTGATTTTCTTCTTTTTTAAGTTATTTTATTTCAAGAACTACTACGGAGTATATAATAAAGGGAACATGGAGCATCAATTTTTTGAGTGCTATTGACTTTATTAAATACTTCCTCCGTCTCAAAAAGTCCTTCACGTTTCAAAAAAACTGTGTCCTTTAATGACCTTCTCATTTCTATTAAAAAACCTCTTTTACCTCTTACTTTTTCATACCCTACCCATCACATCATGTCTTTTTCCTAATAATCTATACATCACATCTTACTTTTACCCATCACATCAATGATATTTTTGGAAAATCAACACAATATTATCCCTCTCTTATTTTACTACTTTAGTTCAAACGTCCCTATCTTTATGGGACGGAGGGAGTACAATATAGTATTAGTTCTTATTTCTCAATCTAATGGTACCTAAAGAGTAAATGCTTATACCTTTGCAGGAAATTGAATCTCGATAAACTTTCTCATAATTTATGGAGAGTTTTTTCTTGCCACTCAAGTCAAGGGAAAAACTTAAAGATTATCAACTTTAGTTTTTGCACTACACACAAAAGGTTACTCCCTCCGTCCCAAAATATTCACAACATTTGCTTTTTCATCAGTCGCGAGAACTTTTGTTTATTTCGACGTTTTCATTGGTTATTTGATAAAATAAAATATTCTTGACCCCTCTTATTTTGAAGAACTTTTCATGTAATTTTTTATATGTAAATTTTATTTTTTATTTCTATACCAATATGTAAATAAAATGAATTGAAAAAACTTGATATTTTGCCTCGGAAATACAAATGTGGCAAATAATTTGGGACGGATGTAGTATATATTACTATCTTCTTCCGTGAGTATTTATCACTTTTGACTTTATCGGTCAACCATTTCAACTTTTTACCAATAATTAAATGAAATATATATTGTATATTAATTAGATAAAATAATATTATGAAAATGTTTGATATATTAAATCTAATAAAACTATTTTTGTATCAATATCTAATATCATTTTTATTTAATTTGAAGTCAAAATGTATCAATCTTGACTGAAAAAAATAAAAAATGGACAAATACTCAGAGAGATGGAGGGAGTATGTCATTAGTACAGTGTTTGGTTCAAAGAAAATGAATGAGAAAAGAAAAAGAAAATGCGACCTCAAAAATGAAAAAATATACGAAAACCATTTCTCTCATTGTCGTGAAACAAATAAAGAAAATTGTTTAATTTTGTCCAAATTTTTTGTAAAAAGCATATGTCAGTATTTTGGAGTGACGTAGTGAGAAATTGTAACATTGAACTACTTCATTTCGGATCCATGCCTTGGGGCCGTTGGGGAATATGGAACTATTGGGCTGGTGCAATTGTTTTTGGGCTTCACCTTGGGCTCGGTCGGTTTGGCCCGTAGTCGGCTTGATGATTCAAAGACTCAAGACGGGATGAAAAAAAAGTTCATAATCTTAACGACTTCTGATGTGTCTCACTCACACAATACTTATTTAAATTAAGTTTAAATTGAGTAAATTTCCAAAATAGTCCTTTGTAATAAGGATTTTCCCAAATTAGTCCTCAATAAGTTTTAATTACCTACGTGGTCCTCTATAATTGAGATTTATTCCCAAAATAGTCCTTTGTAATAATGTATTTCTCCAAGCCAGTCCTCAATTAGTTTTAACTACCTACGTGGTCTTCTATAATTGAGATTCATTCCCATGATGGTCCTTCGTAAATAATATTACTCAAATGAGGATTAATTAAAGGTATTTTTTATCCGCTAAATTTAAAATTAATTCTTAAAATAATCATTTATAATGAAGTGCTTTCCCAAAATGATTTTTTCTAATTAAAGATGTATATTTGATTTGAAATTTAAAAGATTTTTTTAAGCTTTAAATAATTCATAAATTATTTATAGTCAATGTATTTTTTAAATTTTACATTTAGTTGTACAGAAATGATTGTTTCGAAAATATATTTTAAATTTGGATGATCAAAATACCAAAATATCTCCCAATTAATCTTCATTTGAGGACTGATTTGGAAAAACACCTTATTATCAAGGACCATTTTGAGAATTTACTCATAAATAATTTATGAATTATTTAAAAATTAAAAAAAAACCTTTTAAATTTTACATTTAGTTGTACAGAAATAATTGTTTCGAGAATATACTTTAAATTTGGATGATCAAAATACCAAAATATCTCCCAATTAATCCTCATTTGAGGACTGATTTGGGATAAATAATTTATGAATTATTTAAAACTTAAAAAAATCTTTTAAATCTCAAATCAAATACACATCTTTAATTAGAAAAACCATTTTGGGAAAACACTTCATTATAAATTATTATTTTAAGAATTAATTCTAAATTTAGCACAAAAAAAATACTCTCAATTAATCCTCATTTCAGTAACATTATTTACGAAGAACCATCTTAAGAATAAATTTCAATTATAGAGGACCACATAGGTAATTAAAACTTATTGAGGACTGATTTGGAAAAACACCTTATTACAAAGGACTATTTTGGAAATAAATCTCAATTATAGAGGACCACGTAGGTAATTAAAACTTATTGAGGACTAATTTGGAAAAATCTCTTATTACAAATGACTATTTTGGGAATTTACTCGTTTAAATTTTATCAAGTCAATTCATTCTAATTATAAACGAGACTTTGAATTTGGGACAAGAAGTTCACTCTTTTCCAGTATGATTGAAATATTTCATTTGTACCTCTACTTAATTTTTAACTCGTGATCGATCTATTGGCAATGTATTGGAAGAGTCTTGTTGTCACATCACGACCTGATTATCGGGTTTGGCCTGTATCATAGAACGTGGGGCGTTGTTTCGTCTTGAGAATTCAAAGATTCTGGATGAGATGGAAAAAAGCTTCTAATCCTAATGAACTAAATTGTATGTAAT